CCGATAAGTTCAAGGGTTCTTGGCAACACCCACGATCCAAACATTGGCATCTCACTGACTACATCATTGTTAGAGAAAGAGATCGCTGAGATGTCCTCATCACCCGAGCCATGAATGGCTCAGATCACTATGACACAGATCATCAGCTCATGTCTCCTCAAAACTGCAAAAAGCCTCTCGAAGAGACTTTAACACCAAGTAACCGGAGGTTCCAGCGATAGCACATACTTTCAGAGAGCAGCTCAATGAGGGGCTGATAAACATCCCAACAACAAACAACCAAAATCCCAGAGCCGAATGGGGTCCCATCAAAGCTGTCATCACACAAACCTGCAATGAGACCCTTGACCAGATCAAAGAAAACACCATGATCGATTTGGTGAAAACTACCAGGAAATCGAAGTATTGTACTCGTCAATAGTAAACGTGTTGCTCTCGTTGACTGGCAGAACAACTTTAAGTCTCGGACCTTCCACGAGAAGAAAGCGGTGGTCCAGTGCGAACTTTGCAAACTAATGAATGATTAGAGGATAAATATAGCGTGCTAATTGCAAAAATTTGCGGAACAACACAAGATGCATGAATTTTTCAATTCTGCTTAAATATTATATGGCCCAACTACTTATGGCGTGGCTCCCCACTGCTCATCTCATGGAAAGAACACTACCATATGCTGCTCAACCAAAACACCGATGTGGATGCCCTGACTACCCAGCAGATTCCTCAGCACCCATATCTGACCCACCTCAGCTATCCTCCATCCCTGGATGAGGTAGCTACTGCCATCAAGCAGATGGAAAATAACTAAGCTACAGGGCCTGATGGAATCCCAGCTGAGGTGTATAAAGCAGGAGGACCTCTGCTTACCAGCCGTCTCCACTCTCTCCTGGAGAATATGGGAGAAAGAGGAAATTACCCAAGATCGTAAAGATGCCTCGCTCATCAATATTTATTAGAGAGAAGGGAAACCGGTCAGAATGTGGCAACTACCGCGAGATCTCACAGTCCTCCTAAACAGACTACTTCCTGAGGTGGAAGACCTCCTGCCAGAATCTCAGTGTGGCTTTAGACCAGGGGTGTCAAACACGCGGCCCGACACACTCTTGCATGGGACCCACGGCCTATTTGCTTCTCCAGCCTTAACTTGAGGAGCTAAAACTAAATAGTGAGTGTATCCCTCAGCTGAATAAAATAGTCTGCTGTTTCCTAGAACAAAATACTCAATCAACATCACCAATGAAACAGCAATAAGACTAGAGATAGTTTTAACGGTTTTGTGGTTGAAAGCGTGCCACTGTACGAGTTGTGAGGGCCGACTGACTACTGTTCACGAATACACTCCGTATACACCACCTTAGAAAGGACAAGAGAGGTGGGGGTGTAGTTCTGTACTGTCGCAGTGACCTCAAACCATCACCCCTAGGTGTTAATGTACCTGAAGATGTAGAAGCCTTGTGGGTTCAGGTCACTCTCACCTCCCACCCCCGCCAGCTTGCCTCCCTCATTGTCTGTGTATGCTATCATCCCCCCCGCGCACCAATCGCCAATGTACTGATTACTCATATAATACACACTGCTGACTCCCTGAGATCCAGATTTCCATGTGCTAAACTAGTGATATGTGGTGACTTCAATGAGTTAGACATCAGTGACATCACCCAACACATCCACTTTACATAAATAGTTGACTTTCCCACACATGGCAATGCTACCCTTGACCTCATCATGACTGATCTCGGTAACCACTACCTTCTCCCCCAGCCGCTGCCTCCCATGGGACGCAGCTTCCACCTGTCCCTACTGTGGTCACCTACCCCCACCTTCTCACCACCGCCAATTGCCACCAGGACTTACCGACCCACCCCCGACTCTGCTATGCGGCGTTTCGGACAATGGATAGCCCGGTATCCCTGGACTGAAGTGATCACGGTAGACGATGTACAGAACAAGTGGGATAATTACCTGGACACTATCACTAAAGCCTCCCACCACTTCTTTCCAGCCAAGACACTGAGGATCCACCCCGATGTTGTCCCGTGGATTACGCCCCGCATAAAAAGACTTATTGAGCAGCGTAACAACGCATACTACAACCAACAACCACCTGTACAAATCTACGTAACCAGGTTATCAGGGAAATCAAGCCGGCCAAGAAGACTTATTATCCCAGGAAAGTGCACGGCCTCAAAGAAGTTGGCATCGGTCAGTGGTATTCCAAGGTAAAAGATCTCTGTGGTCTCAACCGTCAGTCTCCCACACTTCCTTTCATCTCACATTTACCTAGTGAGGAGGCAGCTGAGATAATTAATAACCATTTTGCTACCATATGTCATATCTTACCCAGTCTTCACCTCACTCTCCTCCCGGCTTACTTACCTCCCCCCCTCCCAGTGTTCAACCATATGAAATCGCCAACAAACTCCTGAAATTTAAATCCAAATGCTCCACGACCCAAATTGACACCCCAATCAAAATATGCAAGGAGTTTGCAGTCGAACTTGCCACCCCCCCCTTCTGTTCTATTATTAATGCATCCCTCAGACAAAGCAAATGCCCTAATGAATGGAAAACCGCATTTGTCACCCCCCATCCCCATGGTCACCACCCCACAGTCCCCTAACGACCTCAGGCCAGTTGCCATTACCCCCATACCCAGTCTACTCTGTGAGGACTTTGTTTTAGAGTGGGCATTTGCCAGAATCTATCAGACAATTGATCCACAGCAATTTGGCAATATGAGGACCTCCTCTACATCACACTGCTTAGTGAGCTTTCTCGATTTTCTGCACAAAAACCTGCAGAAACGTAAGACATCACTGGCCGTTGCCCTTGTTGACTTCAGGAAGGCCTTTGACCTTGTTTATCACTGCACTGTTATCAATAAGGCCATTGCACTAGGGCTGCCCACCAACCTGGTCTCATGGCTCACTGATTTCTTGAGTGGACGTCGTCAGGCAGTGAGGTATTAGGGCTCGGTCTCCACATTCCAACACCTCACCTGCGGTGTTCCCCAGAGGACCAAGATGGGACCACTGTGCTTCCTCATCCTGATCAACGATGCTCTATCGGACACTCCTCACAGGTGGAAGTACGTGGATGACTGCACTGTGGGGGTTTCAGTGGACAACATGGCACCAGACTACTCATCGCTACAAGGCACCCTGGAAAGGCTACAGGCATGGACTACGGAGAACAAGGCCACCATCAACCACACCAAAACCGTAGTCATGCACATCAATACTGCCACCACTCCAGTGCAAGCCCCAGCAGTCACAGTTGGTGCCCATCCTCTCCAGCTGGTGCAGTCTGCCAAACCCCTGGGTGTAACTATAGACAACAAACTGGACTGGAAGGCCCATGTAAATAACACAGTCAAGGCAGCCTCGTACCGTCTCTACATGCTACGATGACTTAGGTCACTTGGGACACCCACGTCAGAGCTGAGGACTATCTACAACTCCCTTATTTTCCCCAAACAAACTTATGCGTCACCAGCCTGGTCGTCTTCTCTCAACTCCACCCAACAACGTCGGCTAGAGAAGGTACAGAAAAGGGCCTGCAGAATCATGCTCGGCGCAGAATTCTCCGGCTACATCAATGCTCTCTCCACCCTGGAAATGCCATCCCTCAGTGACCTCCACCACCAAGCACTGGAAAGGTTTGGCAGCCAACTAATGCACCACCCTCGTCATCGCCACCTCCTGGCACCGGCAGCCTTCCACCCACCTCGCGCAGTCCATCACTACAACAAAATTCAGCCCATAAGAGCCCGCACCGATAGATATAAGAATAGCACCATCCCATCTATTGTTAAAATAATAAACAACTCCTGATTTATGTACTGTACTGTAAATGTATTCAACGCATATTATATAATTATGTCTAAATCAAATGTAAGTCGGTATATTTTCAGCCACCGGCTGCAGCTCTATTAATAAACCGTTTATTATTATTATTATTGTTATTATTATTTAGGTATTAGACATGAAAACTCTGACGCGGCAGGCTCTCGCTTGGCCAGTCATTCAAGTATTAGTCCTGCATAGTCGCTTGAGGCAGTTGGAACGTTGCAAATATCCAAAGCAACAGTGATCATTGTTTTTACTTTTGAGCCCATAATTATGTTTTCAAAGAAAAGAACAGTTAATGAAGAGCGTCGGGTGGTACAGGATAAGTGGAAAATCTTATACTCTTTTGTTGAAATGAATGGAAAACCAACATGTTTGATTTGTAATCAACAAGTTGCTGTGGCCAAAGAATACAACGTTCGAAAGCATTATGAAACTAACCATGCTATGAAGTACAACAAATATAGTGGAAAGTTACGTGAAGACAAAGTTAAGGAGTTGGAGCAGTCATTGAAAAAGCAGCGGTCAGTATTTAAGAGTGTTCATCAAGTCAGTGATGCTACAGTTAAGGCAAGTTACAGGATTGCCCATGAAATAGCTGTGTCATCGAAGCCGTTTTCTGAGGGGAACTTTATATAGAAATGTATGTTGATGGCTTCAGAAGATAATTGCCCGGAAAAACGTCAAGCATTTGCAAAAATAAGCCTCTCAAGAAATACAGTTGCAGAAAGAATTGGTGAATTATCAAAAAATATTAACAGTCAATTCAAAGACAAAGTTAAGTCCTTTACTGCATTTTCAGTTGCAATTGATGAAAGTACCGATATAAGTGATGTAGCACAACTTGCAGTTTTTATACAGGGTGTGGATGAAAATATGCAGGTAACAGAAGAATTTGTGAAACTGGTACCAATGAAAGTAACAACAACAGGTGATGACATCTTTGTGAGTTTGGTAGGGGAACTGAATAAATTAGGTGTTGACTGACAAACTGTGAGTCTGGCTACAAATGGAGCACAGCAAATGGTGTGAAGAAAAGCTGGCGTGGCAACAATATTAAAGGAAAAATTAATAGCTGTGAACCCGAAGCATCAAATTTATAATGTGCATTGTATTATACATAAAGAAGTGTTGTGTAGTAAAACATTAAAGATGGATAATGTCATGGATGTTGTTATAAAGACAGTGAACTTCATACGCGCGCGAGTTCTGAACCATAGACAGTTCAACTGCTTATTAGAGGAAAATGAGAACACACATGGACTGCCATATCACACTGATGTTCGCTGGTTAAGTCGGGGAGTCATACTGAAACGATTTTATGAATTGCGCAGTGAAATACACATGTTTATGGAAAAGAAAGGAAGGGATTTGCATGAACTGAAAGATAATGAATGGGTTCAAGATCTAACTTTCATGGCGGATATTACAGAACATTTAAATTACGTGAATAAAAAGCTGCTAGGACGCAATAAGTTGGTGACAGAGTTTTATGACTGCATTCGTGCCTTTGAGGTGAAACTTCAGCTTTTTGAACGGCAACTATCAGAGAGTAATCTTTCTCACTTTCCGACCTTGAAGTCCCAGCAAGGCACACCTGAGTTTCATGCTGATATCAATACAAAAAAGTACTGCATCAAGATTTCCGAATTATTGAATGAGTTCTAAGAAAGATTTGCTGACTTTAAAAGACTTGAGAACGATTTTTTCATTTTTCGGGACCCATTCTCTGTTGGTGTTAATGAGGTACCAGAACATCTTCAGTTAGAATTAATTGAGCTCCAATGTGATACTGTGTTGAGGAACAGAGTGGTCAGAAAAATGGCAAAAGAAATTCAACACCAGCAAGTGCAGCGTACTTAATATTGGAAGAACAAATACTGTCAATGTATACGGCCTTAACAACATCAACCTAGAGAAGTCGACTTGTGAAAGAGACTTAGGGGTACTTGTAAGCCTGGACCTACGGCCTAGAAAACAGTGCGTTAATGTTCGAAATAAGGCAAACAGAGTATTATTAGGTTTTATATCTAGAAGTGTAAGTAATAAGAGTGCAGAGGTCTTATTGCAACTATATCTTGCGCTAGTCAGGCCGCACCTCGATTATGCGGTTCAGTTCTGGTGCCCTTATTATAGAATGGATATCAATTCACTGGAGTCGGTGCAGCGAAGAATGACGAAAATGATTCGGGGACTTAGAAACCTTCCATATCAAGATAGGTTAAAAAACCAAACTTGCATACCCTAGAAAGACGAAGAGTGCGGGGAGATATGATAGAAGTATTTAAGTGGGTGAAAGGAATCATTAAAGGGGATATAGATAAAGTTCTTATAATATCCGAGCAGGATAGGACTCGAAGCAACGGATTTAAGTTAGATAAGTTTAGATTTAGGAGAGAGATAGGAAGGAACTGGTTCACAAATAGGGTAGTGGACGAGTGGAACAAGCTTGGCAACTTTGTAGTAAGTGCTGGAACGCTGGAAAGTTTTAAAAGGAGGCTAGATAGATTCATGGATGATAGAGAGTGGTAGTAACTCTTGACAGGAGCTGCCAGGCACAGGCCAACCGGCCTATTGCAGACTCCTTATTTTCTTATGTTTTTATGTAACAAGTTTTCGAGTGTTGATGTTGGCACATTTTATCAATATTTTGGACCAAATAATCCCAAGATTAAATGTTTTGCCTCAAAAATTATGTCAATGCTCGGAAGTACATATGTCTGTGAACAACTCTTTTCTGTGATGAACTTGAACAAGTCTCGGCTTCGGTCTCAACTTACTGATGCGCACCTTACCAAGAGGTGCCAATTATCAGGAAGCAGCAGTAGCAAACAATAAGATTGATGAAGGTAAGTAAACACTTGATTTGTTTGTTTGTTTTTAAGGGTTTCGCACGAGCGCATACTAAATCCACCTCTCTTATTTTGTCGTACTACTCACCTAAGAGGTGATGGCGAGGTGCTCATAATTATGTTACTTGGCCCGCATACTGTGTACTCATATTAAATCTGGCCCGCCTTGGCATATGAGTTTGACACCCCTGCTTTAAACCATCACGTGGCACCACTGACCTTACTAAGGCCTTCGACTCGGTCAACAGGGAACTTCCTCTGGCGGACGCTTAGTCGTTTTGGATGCCCACCAAAATTCATTGCCATTGTGAAGTAACTCCACGGACATCGTTGAAGGGATTCAACATCGGATCATATGTACATCTCAAGCCTTTGGCAGACTCAGTAACCGTGTCTTCAGCTTTAGGGTGTTTAAATTATCTACAAAGTTGCACGTGCATCAAGCAGTGGACCTCCCCACCCTGCTGTATGGCAGCCATACATGCGTCACATACAGGAGGCACCTCAAGGCACTTGAAAACTTTCACCAACGTAGTCTACATTCCATTCTCCTTGTTTGCTGGGAAGACAAGAGAACAAATGCCAGTATTCTCGCTGACACCAACTGTAGGGGCATCGAGGCTACCATTATCCATGAACAACTGTGTTGGACTGGCCACGTTACCTGCATGGACGACAGTAGACTGCCAAAGCAACTACTTTACAGTCACCCAACGAATGGTATATGTAGCGCTGGCGTACAACGGAAAGGGTATATGGATGGTCTTAAGACAAACCTGAAAAAGCGCCAAATCGACCCCCTCACCTGGGAGACGATTACTCCACGCCATAACCCTTGGAGAAGCACCACACGAGAAGGTGTCAACACTTTCGAGTTAGCCAGACTGCATACCAAGGCAAACGAGTGACAGCGTCGATGTCGCCCTCCACACGTGCAACATCTGTGGAAGGCCCTGCCGATCCCGTATCGGCCTCTCGTGTCACCTCAGAGCCCATCAATGAAGGTGACATCCTTAATAACTCATATCATTGTATCATAGCTGGATGATCGTCATACTCGGTTCCGAGTGACAACAAAGAAATAGTAGTGTGTGTGGGAATATATAGATGTGTATAAATGTATAAATTTGCATTTTCAGCGTATACTGTACAATACAGTAGTACATATATTTTGTTTGTGCACAGATGCATCTAATCACAAATGTATAGCATCAACCTGTCCATAATTTTTCAATAAAATATCATGCTTTAGCCCACCCGGGCACAGGTCATTTTATGACCCACATCAAGGCCTGGGGGGCGAAAATATTATTATAATAATAATAATAATAATAATAATAATAATAATAATAATAATAATAATAATAATAATAATAATAATAATAATAATAATAATAATAATAATAATAATAATAATAATAATAATAATAATAATAATAATAATAATAATAATAATAATAATAATAATAATAATAATAATAATAATAATAATGATAATAATAATAATAATAATAATAATAATAATAATAATAATAATAATAATAATAAAGAACCTTAAATAAATAAAAAAATAAAAAAATATACAAATAGTGAGAAATTATATATGTTTGTTGTGTTGTCTATGTAAGATAAACAATTGAGACCCTACAATTGTGTGTAAATGAGGCAGAGAGTCAGATCAGCAACCTGGGACTTGGTCACAATTTTTGTGGTGCAATATGACAGCAGGGTCTACCATTAGGCAATACATTATGCTTCCAATATGAAGGGTGATAAGCTACTTCTTTACCATAATGATTAAACCGAAACTTGGGAGGAGATGCCATCCTTATAAATTTTATGTTTGTTCTGTTAGAGGTAAATGGGAGGCAAATGGAAAGGAATTCTCAAATAAGATATGTGTGTGTATGTGTTTTATTTCACAATATTTGTTTAATGTCATTGTAAATGAAACTATAAGAAGGTTCAAAGTTAATAACATACCGCGTGGCAAATAATGGGAGCAGAGATAAGAATTGTTAACACATGTACAGTACAGTACAGTGTATGTTACTGTGTTCAAGGTTAAATAAATCTTGCAGAAATTTGGAGCAATGTTTTTTCTTCATTCTTACATGTTGTTTCTTGCCCTGGAGAAGGTGACCAGAATGAAAGAGTAACAAGATTTTCCCTCATTCACTGTCATTTGTACAAGAGTTTGGCTGATAAAAAGTGTCTGAAAATGAATGCTAAGGTGAAAGAAAGTAGCTACTGTAAAGGTATCATGGTGAAAGCTTGGAGAGGGTTCTTAAAGGTGAAGTATTTTTCAAAAGAAAATCTGGTGACGGTGAGGAATGGATGCTGAGAGATTAGAATATTGAAAGCTGTATAAACAATTACTATGAACTCAATAATAGATTATTAAAAACGAGTAAGAACGTGAAATTCTAAGAGTGATCAAATCTGTTGAAAGATGTTAATCAAGCTAATATGAAAAGTAGATTAGCTAACACAGATCTTTATGGTAAATACAGGTACTTGTATATCAATGAAAAAGTCACAAGCTCCAGCTGCCTTGATCTGGCTTTTATAAATATCAAGCTCCACTGAGGAGCTCAAGGATGCTTGGAGAAAATACCACGATCGACTACTGAATGATGAGTACAAATGGGATAAGAGCACCCCAGGAGCATAAAAACCAGTACAAGAAACATGCCTAAGGATTACAAGACAATAGGTCAAGAAAGCAACTGATAAAATGGTGAATTGAAAGTTGCAGAAATGATGAGAGCATCAGACAAAGTAGGTATGCCAAAGGTGACCAAATTGATTAATGCAATCATAATGGAATATTCTGGAAAGTTTCAAAAGGAGGCTAGATAGATTCATGGATGATAGAGAGTGGTAGTAACTCTCGACAGGAGCTGCCATGCACAGGCCAACCGGCCTATTGCAGACTCCTTATTTTCTTATGTTCTTATGTTCTTATCTTCTGGTGGAAGATTGTGATTGTGAATACCTACAGGGGTAAAGGTGGTGCAGTTGAATATAGGAACTACAGGGGCTTGAAGTTGTCAAATCAGTTTTTGAAAGCTGTGAAAGGTGTGATCGAAGAATTGATAGGGAAATGGTGGACATTTAACAATGTGCAATTTAGGTTGATACCAGGCAGAATTTATAAACATGCTTTTAAAAAAGAAGTATCTAAGGAGAAAAAGCTGTACTGTACTTTGTATTTGTAGACTTAGAAATGGCACTTGACAGTGTACCATGTGAGGTAGTACAGTGGGTACTAAGAAAGTCAGGAGTTGAGGAGTGTCTTGTTCCAGTGGTTATGATGCTAAATGAGAACTACAAAAAAAAACGTGGTAGTAAATGATGAAGAAAAATTAGGAATTTGAGGAGAAAGTAGAGGTTTATCAAGGGTCATTTTTGAGCCCCCTCCTTCTGTTTATCATTGTGCTAGAGGCACCATCATAGGACTTTATTACTGATCTGCCCTGTGAGTTGTTGTATGCTGATGTGTTAGTGATGACAACAGATAGTATTGAAGAAGCAGTAGAGAAACTTTAGAAATGAAATAGAGTCAATGGGCTAGTGAGTGAATATGGCCAAACCAATAGTAATATTAATTGGTGTTGTGGGAGAGGGACCTGTGGTGGAAAGTGCAAAATGGCCATGTGGTATCTGTAAGAAGATGTATGGCAGTAACTCAGTAGCTAATGTGCAAAAAGTGTGGAAGGTTGGTAAATAAGAAGTGCAGTGGCATAAATGGCAGACTGCAAAATGTTCAGATTTTAAGTGTTCTGTATGTGTGTGTGCAGATAATCCTGTGGC